ACACATCCCCTCCAGCGCAAGAGCGAGGAGCGGCGAGGGAGGCAGCCAAACGAAGCGCCGCCTTTAAGAGACACACACCCATCCCCTCCTCATCCCAATTGATCCACTGTTTGAGACCCACCCCCCCCCGGGGGGGGATATGGGGGACCCCCAGAGAAAGAAGGGGAAAAGGGGTTTCTTTGCCAGGTTCAGTGGTCACTGGTCACTGTCAGGGCAGGAGTTGGGCATTAGTGACGTGGCCATTAGTGTGGCTGGAAGCCCCAAAGTGCTAAAACGTGCTGAGATTGGGACCAGGGCTGAAGAAGAAGTGTTTTCTGCTGGGGGTGGTGAGACCCCGGCTCAGGTTGCCCACAGAGGGGGCTGATGGCCCCGTCCCTAGGAATATCCCAGGGCAGGTTGGACGGGGTGTTGGGTGACCTGCTCTGGTTGGAGATGTCCCTGCCCAGGGCAGGGGCCTGGACTCCATGGGCTTTGAAGGTCCCTTCAGTCATAAAGCAGTTGATGATTCTCGATAAAAACCCCTCTAAAACCACCTTCAGGTCCCTCAGTTTGCCAGGACATCCTCCCGCTCCTCCCTTACCTGAGAGTCCAGCAACAGCCACGGCCAGAGCCAGGACCAGAGCCACCAGAGCAGCCACCACCAGGACCTTCTGCCTGTAGCCCCAGGCACCTCCGGGTGGGGGGACGCTCCTCCATCCTGAAGGACTCAGGGACACCTCCACGTTTCCCATCGCTCAAGCAGAAGCCATTCTTCTCCTCTTGCCCCAGAGGACACGGGGATGTGACCAGGAACCCAGCGCAGCCCGAGGGAGCCCCGGGGCCAGAGACAGCGGGGGAGCCCCAGCTCAGCCGGGGGGAGCTCCGGGCAGAAGCGGGGACCGGACCCCCCCAGCCGTGGGGGTAAATGGAGAAGAAGCGGGGGCCGTGGGCCCAGGTCCTCTCCGGCCACGGGGGACAGAAAAGGGAGAAGCAGAGGGACACCGGCCCCTTTCTAGACCCAGGGAGATTTTCGGGGGAAAGGGGGCCCGGGCTCTCTCTAACCACCCGAGGAGGGGTTCGGGTTGGGGGCCACGAGCCCATCCCTACCTGCGCCGACCTACAACCAAGCTCCTTCGCCGCATTTCGCTGCTCTGGGCTGGGGGGAGTCACTGAGGAACTCTCTTAAAACAGCCCCACCCAATGATCCGACCAATCAGCGCGCGAGAACGAGCAGTGGCAGCCAATGGCCTTTAAACCCCCTCCCCCCCCCCGTCTTGATCCATGTTCTCTGATCAGTTCCTGGCACCGGGGAGGAGCCGGAGAGTGAAACCCCTCCAGTTTCCCCCAAAAGGCCGTGGCGGGGGTTCCTCATGGGCAGATGGGGCGGTGGGTTTCAAGGCGGCGCTCGGCCGGCTGGGGAAGGGGCGGCAGCAGCAGGCGCAGCCCTCGCTCCCCTCCCGGCCACGGGGAGCCCCGAGGCGGAGGGGGTGGAGCGGACCTGGGTGGGAACCGCGGGGAGGCGGAGGGGGTGGAGCGGACCTGGTTGGGAACCGCGGCGGTGCCCCCCCTGCAGCGGGGCGTGCTGGGTCGGACCTGATGGAGAACCCCCCGATCGCTCGCCTCCGCCGCTGGCAGCGCTTTCCCGGCCCCGGCGCCCCAAGAGCCCCGAACTGGGGGGATTTCGTGCCGGCGCTGGGGGGAAACTCCACGGAGCTGCCGCGCCTTGGCTTCGGCACTGGAACCTCTTCTCGTTTGCACCCATCGGCTAATTAGGAGACTGTCCTCATTGGTGGCGGCTCCTCCTCCTCCTGATTGTATTCTCCCTTCCAATTAAAGGTCTATTAATTGGGGGATGACAGCTCATACTCAGCGAGGAGGGGCTGAAGATGTGGAGGTGCGGGTCTGGGGTTACAAGGAGCCCAGTTTCCCGCAAGGACACGCACTTTCTTTGCAACAAGCTTTGTATCACCCAGCAACTTCGCAGTTTTAGCCGAATGCCCTGCTTTTCCCCCGTTGGCCGGGAGGTGTCGCTTGTGGGTCGTTAATTCGGGCTCGTTAGCGAAACCCTTGCCTGAAGCTATCAAGGGCCCTGGAAACCTCCCGGGACTCACTCCTGTCTTTATGCTCTCTGCACCCCGCTACAACGCGCCTCCTGCCTTCCCTGGCGGTGTCGAGCCGGGCCGCGCCTCGCCCGCCCCCCCTGTGCGGGTTCCAGTGACCCGCAGCGGCGGCCGTCCCTCGGGGCAGCTCTTTCGGTGACACGGGCAGGGACCAGCTCTCGGCGCAGCTCTAATCCCCGCCCCCACTCAGGTACCTTAATTAAGCAGAATGTACTTTTAAAAAGTTAAAATCTCTTGTAGAAGGTAGATTCGCTCATGAAGTCGAATCAAGAGCTGTAGAAGATCCCGAGACCCTGAAGGATCAGACCCTGGGGATAAGCAATCAATGCCCCGCTAATGAACAGCCCCTCGCAGAAGAGCCGGAGGCTGAGAAGAAGGAACATCCCACCGCAGGAGGCACCGAAACCCACGGAAAACCAGAGAGCTGCTGGGGGGAGGCATCAAGTCAACCCAAATTTGCAGGAACACGGGGGAAAGGGAAAGGTGGTGGTGGGAGATCGCGACCCCCAACTCAATGGGAGACCGAACTGGGGACCGACTTGCTCTGCTCCCCCCCGGTACTGGAGCCTGGGCACCTCAATTCATAGCATCATCGACTGGTTGGAGTTGGAAGGGACCTTAAAGATCATGGAGTTCCAACCCCCCCAGTCCAACCTCCAATGAAAGGACCTTGTAGCTTGAAATGAAGCCGAGAGACTGCACTAACCAAGAGACATTGTTAAGATAAGGTACTCACCAATAATTAGAATTAAGGGGGCGTATTTCTGTGCTTGGAACGGTAGGAATATCCCTCCGAGTTTCGAAGGCGGGGTGCTGGCTTTGTGGATCCCCCCCGACCACCCATCTCTGCAGAAATGAAATCAAGAGGGAAAACCTCTGCTCTGGGTGTCTCTTGGCATCTGCACAGTGGGGAAACGGTCCCGCTTTGGGGCAAGAGTTTCTGGCCACCCAGGTGGGATGTCCCTCCTTTGAGTTGTTTGAGTCGTGCACACCTTGGGTTGGGTTGGGTTTGCTCCCAAGAGCGGGCGGGAGAGAGACCGGCCCCAGGAGCTGCCATTTGATAAACGCCGGGAGACGCCCCTCCTTTTAGTGTGGGTACAGACGGTGTGGGATCTTCTTGGGGACCCAAATGATTGGGATGCTCGGAAAAAAACTGTGGTCTGGCGGATTCTAACCATCGAGAGGGAATATAAGCGTTAAGCGAGAAAGAGAGTAAAGGCGAAAACGCTTGTTCGAACGGTTGTCAATCAAAAGAAGAGGAATGGGAAGATTTGTTTTTGGCGTGTGCACAGCGGGAAAAGGACCCCGCTTTGGGACAACAGCCCCTCCCCCTCCCTCGGGGCACCCTCGCCCCAAGGGATCGCCAGGGCTGGGTTTTCCTGATGAGGGACCCACCCTTCCCTCGGGGCAGCTCTTCGGGTCGCTCCCGGCAGCGCCCACCCCTGGGTTCAGCTCCCATCGCCGCCCCACAACCCCCCTTCCCCTCGCTGCTCCCCGGCGCCGAGCCCTGGGGGTGCCCCACGCCAACCGTCCCCCTCCCACCATCACCAAAACGAGCCTTTTTCTCCTTAAAAAAACCAACCCTCGCCCCAAGGGATCGCCAGAGCTGGGTTCTCCTGGTGAGGGATATTTGTTGATTAGCGTCAATACACAAGTTGTAATTAGGAAAAAAAAAAAAAGACTGGGGGTTATAAAGCAGTGTGGATTGTGCTCTCTGCACAAATTCCAAGTCTTTCCGGCCACCGCGCCGGGGCTGGGTGGTTTTGGAGAGTTGGTTTCCGGGGTGTCCCCGGGGGCACTTTCCATCCCGGCGTTGGGAGCGTTGGAGGGGGTGGCTGGGAGGGGGCGGCTGCCCCTCCCGGGGTCTTTCTGCCCTTCTCCGCGCAGCTTCCACGCTGCTGACTGTAACAATTCAACATTTCCCAGTCGCCTGCCCAAAACGCGCGGGGGCCCGATCCCCACAGAGCCCCCCACGTTCCCGAGGGGCAGGTGCCCAGGAGGCTTTAAAGTCAGCGCTTCGCTGCTGGGGGATGGATGTCCATCGGCGCCCCGTGTCCGTTGCCGTCTGCCATCTGTCCCCTCCCCCTCTTCTCGGGCGCAGAGGGAGAAACCGGAGCCCAAATCGGCGGCCCTTACACTGATGCTGCTCTTTCTGCCCTCTGCTCTTTCTCCTCGCTTTTCCACCCGGGCTTTAACAGCTCTTGATTTCACCCCACAAATTCAGAAAGCCAAAGTCCCGCCTCTCCTGCTCCCGTCCCCGCCGCCTCCCGCCGCTCCAGCCTCCTCCTTCCTCCTCTCTCCTTCCCTTTGCTCCAGCTTCTTCCTCGCCTCCTGGCTCCGGGAAAGGCAACGGCACCCACTGCCGCCGCCGGCCTCTTCCCTCTCCTCTCCCCGCCTGAGCCCCCTTCATCTTCCTCTCACTTTCTGCGGCACCAGTTAGAATAGTCCCCTTAATTGTGTGGATTGTAATTAGTCCTACTGCCTTGGCAAGACCGGGGTGACGAGAGGACTTGGTTGACAAGAGAGGACTGGGATAACTAGGGAGGACTGGGGTGACAAGACTGGGGTGACAAGGGAAGACTGAGGTGACAACAGAGGACTAGAGCGACAAGAGAAGTCTGGCGTGACTAGAGATGACAGTGGTGATAAGAGAGGACTGGGGTGACAAGAGAGGACTGGGATAACTAGGGAGGACTGGGATGAGTAGAGAGGACTGGGGTGACAAGAGAGGACTGGGATAACTAGGGAGGACTGGGGTGACAGGAGAGAGGATTGAGGTGACAAGAAAGGACTGGGGTGACTGGAGACGACAGTGGTGACAAGAGAGGACTGCGGTGACAAGACCGCATTAAAAATACCGTAACGAGGAGCACTAAAAGCCGGAGGGAAAATCCCCCCGGTACCAAAGTGCCCGCGATCGCTCACCGCCAAGCCCCGCGGCAGCCGAGGAGGCCGTTCTTCCTCCTGAATCCTCCCTCTCGGAGCTTTCGGCCCGAGATGCGAAGGAGCGGCAGGAGGGAGCGAAGCGGAGAGGTCAGGGGGGTCCATGGAGCTCTGCAGGAGCCCGGGAGAGGACGCTGGGCGGGGAGAGCTGCATCGGGGCTCTTTGCTGCCGCCTGCTCCTGGGAGATGTGGGGATGGGCGGGCTGGAAGCGGGAAGAGGAGGAGAGAGAGAGAGAGAGAAAAGCAGAGAGACAAAGTAAACTCTTTGTGGGGCTGAGCCCTGAGCCCTTGGCACGGAGCATCCATCCCTCCCCATCGTGTGGTCTCCCTGCCCATGGCAGAATGCATTCCTGGGAGGGACCGGCCGCAGAGAGCAGGGTCCATCCCCAGGGATGCGATGGGCAGAGGAAAGTAATTTGCAGTATGGAGGGAAAATATGTATTTATGTGCGTAAGAATGTCCTGGCCAAAGTGAGGGACCTGAAGGCAATTTTACAGGGGTTTTCATCAGAGAACCATAGACTCGTTTATGGTTGAAGGGACATTCAAAGCCCCTGCAGTCCAGCCCCCTGCCCTGGGCAGGGACATCTCCAACCAGAGCAAGTCGCCCACAGCCCTATCCAACCTGCCATGGGATGTTTCCAGGGACGGGGCCATCACCCCCCTCTCTGGGGAACCTGGGCCGGGGTCTCACCACCCCCAGCGGAAAAAAACTCCTCCCTCAGCCCCAGTCCCAATCTCAGCACGTTTTAGCACTCTGGGGCTTCCAGCCACACTAATGACTACATCAGTAATATAAAATAATAATAATAATATATATAAATATATGTAATAATAAGTAAGTAAAAATGAAATATAACAATAAACCACGTCACTAATGCCCAACTCCCGCCCTGACAATGACCAGTGACCACTGAACCTGGCAAAGAAACCCCTTTTCCCCTTCTTTCTCTGGGGCTCCTCATATCCCATGCCTGCATGCGCTGCCCCGGAGCGGGGTGTCCCACTAAATGACAAGGTGGGGATGAGGTAGGTGAGACTCTTAAAGGCATCGATCCGATTGGCTGCCTCCTCCTCCTCCTCGCTGTTGTGCTGGTGGGGCGGTATTAA